GCAGCGCACCCTCAAGCAGTGGCGAAGCGCCCTGGCCTGCCTATAGGCCCTCCAGAGATTTGTAGAAACACCATTTGTGGTTTGCATGACGCGTTCTGGGAACATGTGTGGCGAAGGCCGTCGTGTAGTAGTACTTCATCGGTACGTTCCAAGAGCATTGTTCTCGGTTTTACAGCGCCCGTGTGTTTCAAGAAGGTGTCGTGGTATGCCAATAGGAATGTCTGGACGGTCGGTGCCTGCTCAATATCCTGTCTTTCTTGGGGTCTCCTTCACCGCTGTTGGCGCGTAAGCTGCCCGCCGAAGCTCGCGCGCGAGCGCCTTCGCCTCGAATCTGGCGTGCCGCGCCTGGCGGCCCCCCTGCGTGAAGTCGCTGCCTCGTCTTGCGTAAGGCCCGCTTCTTCTCGTCGCTCAAATGGCGTCGCGACCCATTCGCGACGTGGGCCCCCAGACCCCAAGGCCTCATCCCCGGGCGCGGGCTTCGATCATCCTGGATCGGGCGCCTCGTAGCTGGCAGGCGATGCAGAGTGCGGGTGGGGGGGGTCGAGGGTTGCAAGAACAGGTGCCGTAGAGTTGGACAGTCAAGTTTTTGGCTAGGGAGTGTTTGTTTTTGTTGGTTGGTCCCCCCCCCCACAGAAGATGGCCGAAACGCTCCCGAAAGCTTCCGACAACCCAGCCAGAAGGGTTCCGAACGGCTACTCGGGGAAGGTTTCGGTCGATTTGGGGGGGGACAAGTCCCTAGTGAAACCTGGGGTTTCTAACAGAGGGCCTGATGGGGCCCCGAAGGCGCACGAAAGGCGAACATTTCCTCGCCCCCTCCCCCGCGCCCCCCCCCCTCATTCGGCAACTCGGCGGCGAACCCGGGGTGAAGTGAGCAGGGGCAGACCTCCTCAACAGGCTCGGAAGCCCCCCAGCCTTGTGATACGTTTTCTCAGCCTTCCCCGAAAACATGGAAAACTGCTCAGACGGCGCGAGGGTTCCTGAGAGGCCCCACCTCCTTCTGAAAAGTCTTGCTCGTTCCCACTGTCTGATTTGTCCCCAGGGCATATCGCCGAGTATTACCCCCCCGATCTGCTTCGCATGACAAAGGACGCGCCCGCCGTGCCCGCAGCAGACGCCATTCGTAAAGCTCGGCTCGGCCAGGGCATGCACTCGCAGGCAAGGTATGATCTTCAGATTGCTGTACCCATCGGTCGTTGAAAGTAGGTATTTGTTGGATTCTCAGATTCCTCTCGCTTCGCGGGGTGCACGTCTGGAGCACGTACAGTCACGTCGTCGCGGGGCCTCTTGGGAGCCTCTTGGGGGCCTCCTGGAGGCCTCCTGGGAGCTTCTTGGGGGCCTTTCCCCCTTCCTTTCCATACACCCTCCCCATCTTCCCTTCCAGCGCCGGCTCTAATCATGGGCGCCGCAGTGACCAACTTCCACCTGGCTGGCGCTGCGCCGCAGTTCGCCCAGAGGGGGGAAAATGACATTGCACTCCAGTCGCTGAGTGGCCTTTGGGGGGCTTTTTTGGATGTTTTTTGGAGGCTTCTGGGGGGCTTCTTGGAGGCTTCTTGGGGGCCTCTTGGGGCCTCTTCGGGGCGTCTTCGGCCGTCTTGGCGCTTTTGCATCGTTTCGCCCCCTCCGAGGCTGTCCTGGGGGCCTCTCGCGGCCGCATTGGAGCCCTCTTGGGGTCCTCTAGGGCCGTCTTCGGGGCCTTTTGGACGGTCGTGGGTGCCTCTTTGGGCCGTTTTGGGGCCCTCTTGGGTTTTTTCTGGTTTGTTCTGGGGCGATTCTGGAAGCTGCTTGGGCCGTCGTGGATTTGTGAAATGCGAAAAAGACGAGAACGCTAAAATGTGGCAGAAACCATCGGAACATCAATGATTTCGGCCTCTGGAGGCGCAGTTGTGGGCGCTCTTGGGGCCCTCTTGGGCCGTCCTTGGAGCTTTTTGGGCCGTCTTGGGGGCCTCATGGGCCCCCGTTGGGAAAATCTTGGGCCGTCTTGGGGCCGTTTTGGGCCGTCTTAGGGTCGGTCATCTTGGGCAATCTTGAGGCCCTCTTGGAGCCCCAAGAGGCCCAAGATGTCGAATTTGTTGAATTTTCATAGGTTTCTGTCGGTTCTTATGGCCCCAGAAAGGAGGGGGAGGGGCACTTTGGTCCGTTCATGCGGCGCGACTGCAGAGGGGGGGTTAGGGGGGATACATAATAATGTAACACAAGTGGGAATTATGCAAACATTGGACACATTGGATCCACTGCATTACAGCATCCGCGGAAAACGCTGCCGCTCAGCACGTCACTTCCGGACGTGGATTCATTGGCTTACGCCACACCGCCGACCCCTTGGGGCGGCAGCGATCGTCCCCCGCGTGGCCTGTCCGGACAGCCTGTGAGGCCCCTCTAGACACGTGTTGGAGCCCTTTTAGGACTGTCTTGCCGTTCCCCCTGGCCGTTGCTATGGTTTCTGGGGCCTTCGTGGGGCGCCCGGAGGCCGTCGTGGAGCTTTTTGGAGTTTGGGGAGTCTTTTGGGGTACCAGAGGTTGATATTGGAGGTTTATTGGGCCGTTGTGGGCCTCGCGAAAGCCCAAGAAGCGACCGTGCTGAAAATGTACGTTGTACCTAAGGAGTGGGGCGGTTTTTGCTTCTGGAGGCCTGCTTGGAACACCTCGTGGTCGCGTATGCAAGACGCCCATTGGGCTGTCTGGAGGCAATCTTGGGCGGTTTGGACCGAATCGTCCCCCGCGTGGGCCGTCCGGACAGCCTTTGGGAGCCTTCTTGGCCCGTTGCGGAGCCCTCTTGGGACCGTCCTGCGGCTTTCTTGGGCCGTTGCTATGGTTTCTTGAGCCTTCGTGGATCGCCCGGAAGCCGTCTTGGAGCCTTTTTCGGAGCCCCTTCGGGTGACAGGGGTCGATCTTGGAGGTTTATTGGGCCGTTGTGGGCCTCGTGAAAGCCCAAGAAGCGACCGTGCTGAAAATGTACGTTGCACCTAAGGAATGGAACGGTTTTTGCTTGTGGAGGCCTTCTTGGAGCGCCTCGTGGTCGCATTTTCTAACGCCTGGGACACCCATGGGGCCGTCTGGCGGCGATCTTGGGCGGTTTGGTCCGAATCGTCCCCCGCGTGGGCCGTCCGGACAGCCTTTGGGGGCCCTCTTGCCGCGTTTTGGAGCCCTCTTGGGACCGTCCTGCAGCTTCCCTAAGCCGTTGCTATGATTTCTGGGGCCTTCGTGGATCGCCCAGACGCCGTCTTGGAACCTTTTTGGGAGCCTCTTGGGCTGTCGAGTGTCGATCTTGGCGGCTTCTTGGGCCGTTTTGCGCCGCGTGGAAGCCGAATGGGCGAATGTGGTGTAAATGCACGTTTCCTCTAGGGAATGGGACGTTTTTTGCTTCTGGAGAGGCTCTTCGAGGCTCCTCGTAATATTGTTTCAAAGATATTGGAGACTTTTGGAGCCGTGTGGAGGCAATCTTCGGCGTTTTGGGGCGATCTCTCGTCGATTCGTAGCTCTCTTGGACTGTTCCGGGAACCTTTGGAACCTTTTTGGCCCGTTTTGGGGTTGGGGTCCTTGAGGCTCCAAATGTGCGGATGATGAATTTGCCCCCCCCCCCCCCCCTCCAAACCGGCCGGACCAGGCCCCCGGGGGAGGGGTTTGGGGAGGGGGGAGCATCTCACACGCCGTGACCCCAAGGGGTCGGCGGATTCCAGTCTACTTTTAGCGCCTTCCTACTTCAATGGTCGAGTGGTTTCAGCTTTTCCGTAATCGGGGGGGGCGGCGGATCCAATAAACACTTTCACCGCTTTCCTATGTTACGTTTCTACCTACTCCTTCCAACCGATGTGCTTTCTGAATGGTCAGATGGCCCGACCAGCTCGTTCTCCGTGGGCTCGAGGCCCCGAAAAAAGACGTGCCTCGGGATGGGCCCAGGGGCGTGGAGCGGGCCGCCGCGGCGCCGGAGGCCTGGGCCTCGCAGGGCCTCCAGGCCGACCCCCAGCTGCCTGCGTGCCTCGTCCCGCTCGGGTGACAAAACAGTCGCTACGGATACTCACCACCCACCAAACCACCCCAACCCAACCCGAAGGCTCAAATTTACTGTCGATTTCCAGTGGGGGGGGGGGTCGGGGAACATCGAAAAAACACGCGTGGAACCCTTACCCCCCCCCCCAACCCGAAATTCGGGTCTTCGGGTTGGGTTGGGGTGGTCTGGTAGGTAGTCAGATACCGGCCCGAAACATCTCCTTCTCCCTGCGATTCGCGTCGCCTCATCTCGATGCCGATCTTCAGGATTTTTCTCACTTTCTGAGGGCGAATCTCTTCGACCGTCATCGCCTTTTCAGCTGGTCAATCTTGGGGATAGGGATATGCTCGAGGCTGGTTCGACGGGAGTTTCTTCGCTGTTTTCGACTTCTGGGGGCCCCATGGCATCGGGGCCTTTAAGGGACGGCGCGGGATGACACGCTGGTCTTGGTGGAACGGGTCCAGACCTTCAGAGGCGACGATAAGGGCGAATAGCCCAGGGGGGGCAGTACATGCAGGCAGGGGCGCCGATGATCCATGTTTTCGGCGAGCCTCCCCGGGCGAATGCGTGTATGCCCGCCCCTGGGCTATTCGCCCGTATCGTCGCCGACGAGACCTTTTTCCAGAGCGTTCCGGAACGCTCTGAGAAGGCCGCGGCGCCCGAGACATCATCCAGATTGCCCCAGAATCACCAGATCTCATAGTACCCGATTTTATCCTCGTCCTGGCTTCGTCTTAGGTCGACGTCGTGGAAAAGTGCATGGCGTCGGGGGGCTCTGGGTTCCGGGGCGTGCTCGGGCCCGGAGCTCGTGGCAGATCCAGTCCGTGGCGACCAGGGGCGCCCCGGGAAGCACACCTCGATCCTGGACCCTCGATCCTGGACCCTGGATCCTGCATGCTGGATCGATCCTGGGTCCTGGATTGATCCTGGATCCTGGGTCTCCGATCCTAGATCGATCCTGGATCTGGGATCCTCGGTCCTGGATCCTCGACCCCTCTCGCCGCTGCGGGTAGGTCGGAGCAGCGATGGCTCTGTTCTCGGCCCCCTTCGAGTGCTTCGTCTGCGCGGCGCTCCTGGTCTGCATGGGCCATTGCGCCAGGGACCCGGAGGGGGGGGGGCGGAGGAGGAGGAGGAGGAGGAGGAGGAGGAGGAGAAGGAGGAGGAGGATTGTGCTAGGATTGTGCTAGTTAGGACTCACGCAGATGGAGAGCACCACGCAAGCCGCCTTCGCCGTGTAAGTTATTACTTACAAGGGCTTCCCCGTGGATGGATGGCGGCCCTCCCACAAACGCGTCAGTCGACCCTTGGCCGTCCGAGCTCGGGCGGGCTTGCAGCCCTCCTTCACTAGGTTCGTCCACTTACACTGAGCGTAGGAAGCGCATCGCCTGCAGAAAACAAAATTGGGGCGGAACACAAGGTGGTGTCCTAGCCCCTGTGCCTTGCGAGTGCGTGCTTGTCGGGCTTCGAATTCGACAGATTCAGCGCCCGACGGCTCGCTCTGAGTCTGGTTGGGGACCCTGGGATCTTCCTGGTCCCTGGGGCCCACAGACGGGGAAGGGGGAGGCATCAGAGGAGGAGCAGGATTCGACTCGGCGGCCTGGCTCGGGGCTGGTCCTCTGATGCTACTCGGTTCGACATCGGTGATCGTATCGACGACGTCGGACGACATTGCGCCGAGCCTAACAGCAAATTCTAGGGCATCTGCTACCATGCTATACTTCTGCTGATATGCCTGCCGCTGCCAGAAAGGGTGCGCACACAACTTGGCCCCCTTCTTCGCGTATTCATCCGCGAAGCGGCTGCCTCTGAACAGTCTCTCGCCTATCTCTCGCCGCTGGGCTCGAGTGGCGTGGGCCTTTATTTTTAATATCTGGATGGTCCTGGGGCCCAGCCCTCCAAGATCGTTCACCAGAAACCAAAACTCTCGCCAGAGATCACTGTGGGCCCTGGCAGGTGACGTGCACCACTCCTCCCCTCTGGAAGTTCCGTCCACTACAGCCTGACAGTCACAATAGATTTTGAAGGGCGGCATCGCGCACCTCAGCACCTGGAGGATGGCGTACAGTTCGGACGGGTATATCCCTTGCCGATTTTGTGGCAGGGGGAGGGGGCCGAACGCTGAAAAAGCAAGGCTCTCCCCCGAGGCATCGAGGGTGGCGAAGCTCCACCCCGCGCGCCGAAGAGGAATACATTCGCCATACAAGAGAGATCCATATGTGAAAACCTCTCCTGTGATGACTCCTGGATGGTCGCCTTCATGCTGGACCTCGAACGAGACTGGCAGAACATCCAGGAGCTCAACTGGGTCCTCGGAGATACCTCCGGCCCAGAGTGACTCGAAGCCTGGGAACGGGTTAGCTCCTCTGTGTTGCACGTGCCTGCCACCTACACGCCTGCGCATCGCATCTCGCGCGCTGCATACATACGTGCGGTGCAGGTCCGTTCCAACAGCACTCATGCATGCCTGGCACTGGTCGGTCGTCGCACGGCCAGCCTTAAAAATTCCTTGTTGGGGCCACGTGCCTCCCGCAAACAAGGTTCGGGCCCGCGCGCGGTGCTCAGCAGTCCACTTTTCAGACAGGGGCCTGCGGGGCAACATCCTAATCGGCTCCAGAAAGACGCTCTTAGAGGCATTCACCTCGGGACCCCAACGCGCAAGCCAGCCGCTCTGAAGCCCAGAATGTGTGGCCTGGCGCACGAGGGAGTGGAGGTAGTACAAATCGATCTGAGCCAAATCATGCACCTCTGTCCCGCATGTGACTGTCGCTGGACTCTGGGTGCTCCAACCGAGGCGAATTACAGTCGCAATGAAAGCGCCTGCTGTTCCTCTCACTAGGCCCCGCGGCCTCGGATGCCCGTGGAGTCGCGTGACACACGTGCGCCAGCTCGCCACCAGGAGGTCCCGCGCGGCCATGTCCGTCGCCTCCTGCCACGCCCTGGCCCACTCCACGACGGGCCCCGCGTTGGCGACCACGGAAGGGTCCGCGGCCTCCGCCAGCAGCACCAGCGCGGCCGACCTTCCCTTATTGCATCCAGGGAAGGCCGCTGCCACAGTCTGCCTGAGCGTGGTGATCAGCGTGTCCGTGGCGCCCTGCACGCGCGCGCCGTAGAGCTCCGACGGCGCGATCCCGAGCCTGACCACCTTCTGCGCTGCACCTCCTGCGGTCTTGACCCGCTGGATCTTCCAGCTCCTGGCCTTGGCCTTGATGATCCTCTTGGACTGGGCTCCGACACGTCGTCGCCGCGCAGCTGATTGGGTCGCGCCCAAGTGCGCAGCTTCACGCACCACCTGAATGCCCATCTGCTTGTTCTGGCTGCCCAGCGGCCGCCCCACCTTGCCATGCGAGACTGCGACTACGGTCTTGCCGTCTCTGCCTCTCGAGACCTGCAGCTTGAGCACCTGCTCGAGGGCGAAGATGATCTCGTCAGTCAGCTTCATGTGGAGCGCTGCCACGGCGGTCACGTCGCCCCTGGTCGACGCCGCGAGGTCGTCGAAGTAGCGGCGCATGTCGGCCCTCGGGTTCGCTATGTAGAGGTCGTCGATAGCGCCGATGAGCACGAGGGACAAACACAATGGGCCAAACACGGATCCTGCCACGATCCCTTGCGCCCAGAAGTTGCCCTCGGTGTAACACCCATTCAGCACCACTCTCCTCATCAAAGAAAATACGTTCAATATGACACGCAGCAATGGCCTTGGGAATCCCCAGCGCAGGCCACCGCTCCAAATGAGAGAATGCAGCACGGTCTCGTAGCACTTCCTCAAGTCGCAGCACGTGGTGGCGATGGCTTCGCCCTGCGCCAACGACCCTTCAGCTAGGAGGCCTTGCATCCAGGCCGCTCGTTCAGCAGACCTGCCCTTCACAGCCCAATCATATGCTCTTGGGTTTCGGCTTTGCCATTTCTGGATCTCGGGGCGCCTGATCTTCTCCCACACTCGTGCGAGCTCTGGTAGAAGCCCCCAATTCCTCATGCCGCCCTTAGGCTTGGGCTGTAGCCAAAAAATGATGCACTGCTGCGAGACGGGCCAGTCGGATCCGCGCTCGATGCAGTCCAGGATACTCGCCGGGCCTGCTAGGCCGACAGCTGGCCCTTGGGCCCATAGCCTGGGGTGGATGTTGGACTCGCCCAGGCCCGTCTTGTGGGAGAAAGCCTTGCAGGCGTGCAGCACGTGGTGACCGAGGATAGGCGGTAGCATGGGCTCGTCTACCGCAGGCGACTCAAACCATGGCGCAGCCCAGTCCACTTGGTAGCGCCATATACTCTCCCATTCCTGCAACGCTGTGTTGGCGGCTGTCTGCGGGTCCATCATGGCGACGTGCTGGGGCGTCACACCCGCAGTGACAGTCTGTGGGGGCTCACCGAAACTTGGTTTTGCCCCCCTCGCATCTTGTGGTACCAATGGCTCCCACGGGACCTTCGGCTTGGTCCACTTGTGCGGGGCCCCCGCGGACTTCTCGCTATGGTTGCGAACCCATGCCCGCCAGGCCTTGGTGGCCTCCTTGGCCTCGTTCTGCCTCGCCTCGTCGGCCTCGCTCGCCGCGACCTGCTTCCAGTACTTGAGGTACTCCAGGCTCTCGGCCAGCTCCTGCTGCTCCTTCATGCATTCCAGGGTGGTCTCGAGGACGTGGGGCCACGGGGTCTTCAGCTCCTCTCCATGCTGGTGGAGTTGTGCGAGGGCCCACTGCTGGGTCATCGCCTCCTTGATGGACTTGATGCGGCTCGCCTCCTGGCCGCCTGCCTCGCGCGAGTCGCTGCTGAGGCTGTGGGCCAGGTCCCGCAGGATACTCGCCACCCATTCTGTTGCCATAGTTCGCGCCGTCGGGCCCCCCTTGTCCCTGACCGTCGGGGGCGCTAGCTCTCGCATCTTGTAGACAGCCTTTTCGCCATGCCCACTGTGGGCCAGCAGCTCGTCGCCGTCAAAGCAGTGATATCTGTTCCAGTGCATCTCGTAGGCGTGCATGAGATCGTGCCAGAAGGCGTTCAAAATCTCGTGGTCGACGCACTCCCTACGGAGAGGACGTGGCCACTGCACTGGTGGTGTAGGGCACCCTGTTGGCACGGTCAAAGGGCACGGTGCCTTCTGTATGAGCTGGAGGGCCTGTGGCACAGGCGATCGGCGTCCGATCTTCATCATGATGGGCCTGTGGGGCTTGGCCGCAAACGCCGTCATGACTTCCGCTCGAAGCCCATTCTCCAGCAAACTCTCCGACGCGATAAAGTAGTCCCTGACCGAGTAGTTGCCCGTACTCCCCCTGCACGTGCCTTCACTCATGTCGTAGACCAGGTGCCCCTTCAGCTTGGTGATGATACCCGTGCTCATCATCTCGTGAGGCTCCATGTTGAAATCGCCGCCGAGCACCCACGGTTGGCCTGACACGGCCATGAGTGCCCCGAAGCGGCTGAGTATTGTGAGATTGCGGTTCGTGGGCCCTTCTGCCACCCAGAGGTACACAGAGCCCACCGCGATGCCGTGCTTGCGGCATGTCTTGACGTAGCCCACACAGAGTCTCCCTGGTGACTCCTTGGGCGAGGCGTCCCACTTCATCAGCTCGGGCAGGTAGGTGATCCCCATGCGGCTTGGCACCGCGATCATGACCCCCGCCCTCATGCCTTGCTCAGTAGGCGCACTAGGCACCACCGCCGCCTTCCAGCCATATTTGATGAGCCTGGCCGACAGCAACTCTACTTGCTTTGGCGCCAACTGTAACTCCTGGCCCAAGACGACTGGGGCCTCGACCTGGTAGCGCAGCTGGAGCAAAACCCTCTTGAACTGGTTCGCGGTGTTCGCATTGCATGTGATGAACACCTGCTTCTCTGCCCTGGTACTTGCACACTGCTCTGGTGAGTCACTAGGAACGCGACAGGCCCGACTTCCGCATTGCAAAGTGAAAACCATCAGCCATGTCAGCAAGAATCGTATGCAACATCGGCCCATGCTTCTGGATCTCCTCATCCTTGACACCGGCCTGCTTGAGGGTTGTCGTGATCTCCTGGGGGCTTGCTTTGGCCTTGAGCTTGAGGACGTCCTCGCTCTGCTCCTCGGGGCCGATGCAAGCGCGCCTCTTGTGGCGTGGTCCGTCGCCGCTGAGGCTGTCCCCGTCTTCGTCCATCGGCACGGCCATCTCTCCGCAGCGCTCGCCTTCTTCTTGGCCGCAAGTGCAAGGGCCGCTTCCAACTGCTTGATGACCTCCGCATCCTGCTCCTCGCCGTCGGCCCCCAGGGACGTTTTGGCGAGCTCCAGGCGCGCGCAGACCGATTCCCAGCCCTTGGACGCGGGGGGCCTGGCGATCGCCTTCTCCTTGGCACGGAGGGACTCGACCTTCTTATTAGCTTGCTCGGCCTTGTTCTCTGAGGTGCGCAGCTGAGTCTGGATGTCCTCGAGCTGCTGCTTGAGCTTTGCCACATGGGCATCAGCCTTCGACTGTGATTTCTCTGCTCCACGGAGACGGCGGCGCACTGCCACTTCCGCGTAGCATGCTGGTAGCGTTGCTTCCTTTTGCGCCAGCAGCCCGTCGATCTGTTCCTGCAACTTCGACGTGGCATCCGATGCGAACTTCATGCCTGGCTCCTGCGCGAGCTGTTCGAGATCCTTGAGGCGGGCCCTGTAGATCTCCAGTTTCTTCGCGATGCCCGACGTGGTCTCGTTGGAGGCGTCGCCATCGGCGTCCTGGTGTGTGTCCTTCGGTCCGTCGCCCTGCCCGTCTCTCTTGGGCGCCTGCCGAGGCTTCTTGCACCAGTAGCATACTTTCGTCCTTCCCCAACAATCGTCCGTGTGGTACACTGAGCAGGTCCACGCATCGCCAGACTTGGGGGGCATCTGGGTGCTCGGGGCGGCGGTGCCACTGCCAAGTTTGCCGCGCCCTGCGACGCGAGAAATCCCTGGCACCTGGAAATCCTCGAGTCGGGCAATGGCTGGAGGAGGAGGAGGAGGAGGAGGAGGAGGAGAAGGAGGAGGAGGAGGAGGAAGAGGAGGAGGAGGAGGAGGAGGAGGAGGAGGAGGAGGAGGAGGAGGAGGAGGAGGAGGAGGAGGAGGAGGAGGAGTAAGAGGAGTCAGAGGAGAATGAGGTTTGGACAGTAGGCGTAACAGAGGTTCGCTCGTGCGCGCAGCCTCTTCCTCTCCTTGCTCGTTCCGTACTCTCTGCTCAAGGCCTCTCGCGATGCTGGCGTTTTTGGCGCGGGGGAGCCATGGCTCGCCTGCTCAGCCTGCGGCCCGGGCCAGGCATGCTGAGGAGAGCTGGGTAGTGTCAGGGCCAAGACCCCCTTCCGTCGCGGGCGGCGACCGGAGGGGTCGGGAGGCCCGCGGCGGCCGCTAGATGCGGCCCGTCCACACGCTCGCGCGCAGCATAGCGACAGCCATCTTCGCCGTGCTGACGTGGCTGGATGCGTCCCTGGGCGTCGGCCTGCACGCCCGTTTTTTTTTTTGCAACGGCCACGGTCATCGGTCCAGGGGGTGGCCACGCCCGGGCAGGCCCGGACGAGGGCGACGCAGGCGAAGAAAATGAACATGCGAGGCGGCCCAGTGGTAAAGGCCAGCCTAGCTGCTCAGCAGAGAGTGGCGCGACGTCGTTAGCCATCGAGGAGCCGCCTGTGCAGCCAGGGCCACCGTCGGTGGAAGCGACCCCCTCACTCTTGGGGCCCCTGGCTACAGACCCACCTACAGCCACGGACGGTCTAGGCGAGCGCCCCCCGACGCCCGGTGAGCACGAGCATTCCTATCAGGGCAACTACTACGCGGACGCCAGCCCAGCAGTGGCGCCCGCGCCACAGGAGGCCAGCGCCCCCGGCTTAGCTGAGGTGGCGGGGGGCGGCTCAGCCAGTGGAGGAGAGGGGGCGCGCGAGGCCAGCCCGCCGCCGCGCCCCCCCCGAGGAGCCGCCGAGTGCGCCCAACGCGTCCGCCGCGGAGGGCAGGCGAGACGAGGATCCGAGCTCGCGACCTTAACCGAGGGGCGTCTCGTGGGCATGGCCAGGGTCAATGCGTGGGCCGTGTTGGTCCTGAAGTGGCCCTTGGGTGGCGGCGGTCCTGGGCTCTGTCATCGGATTTGTGGCTCGGTCCCTGCGCACAGCGTGGTCCTACGTCGCTTTCGTTGCGCAGACGTTGAGGGGTTTCGCGGGTGGCAGCAAGACGGGGCGCGACTTCAGGGTGGCCCTGGAGGGCGACCCAGCCTCCGCCCTGACCTGGCACGGCCAGCAGAGGTTGAGGCAGCGGACGAGGCCCACGTGAAGAATGAGGTCAGGTCGAGGGGAGGCATCGCTGAGAAGATGATGCCCAAGGACCATCATCAAGTCGAGGGGGTCCGTGGCCCACCTTGAGCAGGGGCCGGTCAAGGGCAGCCGATCCATTCGGCACGGGCACGTCCACCGCTTTACGGAGGTGAAGCGCAGCCCCCACCGCCACCTCAAGGATGACCTCGAGGCGACGAGGGACGATGAGGGCATTGGGATGGTTCACCTGTGCGCGGCTATCCCGTGCACTCTACCGGAGGGTGAGAAGAGCCTCGCCCGCGTCTGCTCGCCGTGCGTGGCCAGCCCCAGCGCCCAGATCAACGTGTCGGACTTGGCCGAGCTCACGCCCGCAGGCCGCGCTCGCACGGGCGGTCGGGCCTGTTTCGTCTGGACTTGCACGAGCGTCGGCGAGCTCGGTCGGCGCATGCTCAGGCGCTGCGCCGGGAAGCGTAGGCCGGGCGAGGGATCTGGGAAAGCTGAGGAGATTCGGGGACCGAGTCCGAGCCCAGCGTCGACATCTGCGAGGCGGACGAGATTGCTTTCCTCGGCAAGGGGGGCCCGCAGGTCTTGTGCCCCACGGGCTGCGGGGGCTCGGCCCGCCAGGAGCCGGTCTTCATGCTGGCTGAGGATGCGGCGATCTCGGATGCGCGTGGCGTCCCCGAGGTGGGCGGCGCCCGCGCCTTTCGCGCATGCCCTTTCCACGCGCAGGCCTACGCGGCGCAGGCCGCGCCGAGGAAGCATGCTCGAGTCCTGTTCTTCAAGCGTGGAGATGACCGCGGGGGAGGGCGGCGCCCCCTCTGCGCATCTGACGCTGCTGATCGCGTCGCAGCTTGGCGCAGCCGCTCAACTGCGCCGAGGTCCGAGGAGGAGAAGGGCTAGGCTCGCGCCAGGCCGAGAAGCAGGAGACACGCCCTGCGCGCGAGGGTCGCCCGCGGGCGAGCACGTGGGCCCGGGGGGGCAGCCCAGCTGCGGCTGTGGTGGATGCGTCTTGTCTGATCCATGCGCGGGACCCGTTGGCGGATGCGGCCGCGAGCTGGGGCGCCTGATGCGGCATCCTCGCCAACTTCGCCGGCCCAGCGATGGGCGGCGCCGCGGGTGACCCCCGCGCCGACGCGGAAGCGATCGGCCGCGGCCTCGTCTTCGCCATCCCCGACGGCGCCTTGCCAGCCCCGCGCCCGGAGCTGCTCGGCGAGCTCATCGGCCCCCAGCCCCCCGCCATCTGCTTGAAGCCAGGCAGCGCCCTCAGACTCTCAGACTACGGCGGCGGCGCCAACTATCAAGGCAATAGCATGGGCCCGATGTCCGCAGTCGCCCTGGGCAAGGAGCGGCGCCGCCACTACCTGGCCCTTGAGCGCTAATCCGACGAGAAAGGAGGCGCGCAACGACTTCGAGGGAAACTTCGGAAAGGCGCGCGCGCAGGACGAGGAGCAGAGGAGGCATGGCCCCTGGGCAGCCCTCATCCCCAGCTGCATGGGCTGGAGGGCGGAAGGTCAGACGGACGCCGCGGCGCGGGGGGGCCTGTCGGCCGAGCGCGGAGTGGGGCGGCGTTAGATCTTCGCTGAGCTGAAGCCGCCGACGCGATGCGCGAGGGCGTGGTCAGCGAGGTCGGGCTCAGCCTGCTGCGATGGGGCCAGACCGCGTGGGGCAGGGGGCTCAAGGGAGGATATGAGGCGCGCGCATGGGGCTGCTGAGCGCCGCGCAGAGGCGGAGAGGCCGCCGCGCCCAGGAAGATCTGACCGAGGCGGGGCCGCTTCCCGAGACCGAGCCAGGCCATGGTCTGTAGGGCCCAGTCAGAGAGCTGGGGCGGGCCAGCGAGCGCGCGGTCGAGGCAGGGGGAGCAGCCGAGGGCACGTTGGCCAGCGTCGGCAGGGCGGGGGAGCAGCTGGTGTTCATGGCGAGGGGCTGCGTCTACTAGTGCGTCGCCCTCTGCCCAGGCCTACTAGGGGAGGATACATTCCGCGGCTTTCGCCCAGTTCGGCACGAAATCAGTACGGAACGCATGGGTACAATGCCCAACAGCGGCTCCTGTTCATTTTTGAACAGGAATCGCCGCCCGCACCGCCGCGGCTGCGTCCGTTTGAGACAGGAGGCCGCCTCCCAACAGCGGCCGCTGTTGGTTTGGAACCACATCTGTTGTTGGGCATTGTACCCTTTTTTCCGTTCCCATTTCGGGCGTCCAAATCATCGGGGCAAAATTCGAGGCCGCTTCTCCATTCGTCAAGTTCCCGACCAACGCCACCAACGCCATCGCCTATGGCTACGCAGCCTTGCAGCGAAGGGGCGGGATCGCGCCCGCCCCCCAGACAGTTGCTTCAGCGGCGCGAACTTCCCGGAGACGTCGGAGGCGGACATGGACGGCTTCGCGCCGCCACCGGACTACAAGCTCGAGACACGGCCGCGACATGCATCTACACCCCAGCACCGGTTCCAGGACGTCATGCGGGAGGCCTGGGGGCGGGCGCCGGCAAGTCATGGCCGCGGAGCTGCTGCAGATGAACGACAGGGCCGGCTGCGCGTGGCCCCCCAACGGCATCCACGGCACCTGGGCGGAGCTGAGAGGCAGGTGACGCGAGGAGCTGCGGATCAAGAGGGCCAAGATGCGGGAATCATGGGGGATGCGAACCCGACGTGGGGCAGGATCCGCTTCGCGCGCACGTCTCCAGGCCGCGCTGAGGATTCAGGGCCATGGCTGGAGATGCCCAGGACGCACTGCGTGGACGAGCAAGCAACGGCAAGCTCCAGCGGTCGCAGTGGCAGACGGCGTTTCGCTCATCTGCTGTTCAGCCCCACCCGGCGCAGCCTCCAGCTGGACGCCCGAAGGCGAGCGCGGGCGGCGCGGGGGGGGCAGCAGGAGGAGGGGGGGGGCGGCGCATCAGGAGGCGGTGGAGGAGGGGGCCGCGGCGGCGCTGGCCTGTTCGGGCAGGCTTTCACCAGGAATGGACCAGTCGGAGTCTCGATCACGGGCCGATGTCCCCCGCCCGGCGGCCGCGTCACCTGCTGGGACAACGCCAGCCGGACAGGGCGCAAGAGCACCTCGCGCCCTCGCTCCCCCCGGGCAATCGGCAAGGTGGGCTTGCTGGATTGGACAGCGCAGATGCAGCTCATCAAGCGAGGGGGTCCGAAGGGCGGCCCGAGGATCAACTCGCGCGAGGAGGCGGATAGAAGGGCGGCCGCGCTCAGGAAGGAGCACGAGGCAGAGGAGGCGTCGCAGCGAGTTGGAGCGGCCGCGGCCGCGGCCGGGAGGGCGCGGTCAACGAGGAGAAGGACCTGGAGGAATGCGGCTGGGAAGCCGCGAAGATGCGCCGGGGCCTCCTGCGTCGAGCCTAGGAGGGCGCGATCGAGATGCCCAAGCCGAAAAACGAGAAGGCGGCCCACCTCTTGGCGGACCCGACCCTGGACTACCACCAGCAGAACATCCCCTGGAACTTCTTGGAGGTCCACCGAGGGGGCCGGCAGCGCTGGCGCCTCGTCATGCCCGCCATGCGGTGTCTG